GGTGTAAGAATATAAGTTCAACTTCTATAAAAATGAATTTAATATTATTTGTGATATTTATTTTTCCACCTCTATTGAAATTGTTAAAGTTGTTGGGTTACTTATTAGTTTTAGTGTCGGTTACACGTTAATTATTCAGTTTGATATGTTATTTATTTTTATTTTTTTCATTCATAGGGTCACTTTCACTTTTAGCTTTTGGGCCTAGTAACCTTAGCTGTCGCCCATAAGAGAGCATAATGCAATAAAATTACGCTTGTTTGACGGATTAAATTGAATGCGATTAATATGATGAGATTGAGTGAGAAAATTAATAATATAATAATATTAAGTTAAAAATATAAGATAACATGTATTTACTTGTATAGTAGTGTGATAGTATTAATTGATTGGAATTAAACTTGTGAAATTATATAATTGTAGTCTCATTGAAATTAAGGGACAAAATAATCCTTTACAATCAATCCCATCTCTCACCCATCTTTGCTAATCCACCCATAGTGGGGGACCATTATTCCAATTGAAATGTTAATCCCCTTACAACTTTTTTAACCAAATATGCTAGGAGTGAAATCCATTTCACTCGTAATCCAACTTTTTTTAAAATTTTTTGGAAAAAAAAGAAAGCATTTTTACTTATTTTCAAAACAAAGTTTCTCTTTCCTCTCCCTTCTCCACCACCCACAGTCAACGACCCTCCGATGATCTCCAATCATCTTCTAGTCCATGCAAGCTCTGTCGATTGGATAGTTACCTTCTATGACCTCTATTCACCTTTTGGTGGAGGCCTATTATCGTGACCTTTTAACATTGATGACACTCCTGGTCAGCAATTTTAGCAGCTCCTCTTACCGTCGACTGTTTTCCACCCTTTACTGCTAACCATCATTTTCAATAACAATTCACCAAACACGTTCTTTTATATTAATTTTTTATTTCTCAAAACTTTTATGTACATCAAATAAGTTTTTTTTAAAATATTTTTTTTGTTAGTTTCTTCAATTAAGGCCTTCAACTTCAATTTTGTAACACTATTTTGTGGTGTAAGAGTATAAGTTCAACTTCTATAAAAATGAATTTAATATTATTTGTGATATTTATTTTTCCACCTCTATTGAAATTGTTAAAGTTGTTGGGTTACTTATTAGTTTTAGTGTCGGTTACACGTTAATTATTCAGTTTGATATGTTATTTATTTTTAGTTTTAGTTTTTTCATTCATAGGGTCACTTTTACTTTCAGCTTTTGGGCCTAGCAACCTTAGTTGTCGCCCATAAGAGAGCATAATGCAATAAAATTACGTTTGTTTGACGGATTAAATTGAATGCGATTAATATGATGAGATTGAGTGAGAAAATTAATAATAGTAGTGTGATAGTATTAATTAATTGGAATTAAACTTGTGAAATTATATAATTGTAGTCTCATTGAAATTAAGGGACAAAATAATCCTTTACCATCAATCCCATCTCTCACACATCTTTGCTAATCCACCGGTAGTGGGGGACCGACCACTATTTGAATTGAAATGTTAATCCCCTTACAACTTTTTTAACCAAATATGCTAGGAGTGAAATCCATTTCACTCGTAGTCCAATTTTTGTATTTATGTAGGCAATTAAACCTGTCTTAAAAAAAAGAAAAGTAATGCTTGTCTCTTATGTATTTTTGTTTTCAACTCCTAAATTGATTCACATGTTAAATTATAAGAGGTGAACAAGTTTTTTGAAATAGATTTCATGATATCAATTAATATATAAGAAATATTGAATGGAATTCTCCAACCCCCCCCTCCCAAAAAAAAAAGGGCTTTGTTTGACTGGCCATGTTTTTATTGTGTAATAAACCTTTGGCTTTTAAGCGAAAAGTGGGCCCATAAAATACTTTTTAAAGGCCCAAGTTGATTAGAACTTTTGTTTGATATATACCCGGAGGAATCAGAGGCTTAAGAAGACCCGGACAATCTGAGCATATCACCAAACTTTATTACGATTTCCCTAAATAATTATGATTCTTCTTTCAATAATGGTGAAGCTTATAAGAGCTGCTTATATTAATTTTTATTTGGGCAACAATTTTAAATAGTGAATTTTATAAATTGTTTGATACCCTTTATTTATTTATTTATTTATTTATTTATTATTATTATTATTATTATTATTATTATTTATGAATTTAAATATCTTATTTTAGTGTGAATTATATAAAGCCCAATAAATGTGTGTTATGTATTGAGGTATAAATGTAGATTTTTTTCATAATATTGAAATTACTAAACGTAACACTTTGGAAAAATTTCTTAGTATACTTTTCCTAAATGTAATATTCTAATATAACACTCAAAAAAACATAACACTCCAGTGTAACACACAAAAAAAAAAATTAGTGTATTTGTTTTCAAACGTAATAATGTAACATTCCAAAAAAAAACTCCTTAATGTACTTTTCTCAAACGTAACATTCCAATCAATGTAACACATGAAAACTCCTTATTATACTTTTTTCAACCGTAACGCTCTGATATAACATACTAAAAAACTCTTTAATGTATTTTTTTCAAATGTAATAATGTAACATTTCAAAAAAAATTTCTTAATATACTTTTCTTAAACGTAACACTTCAATGTAACATACTAAAAAGCTCATTAGTGTATTTTTCTCAAATATAACAATGTAATATTTTAAAAGAACTCTTTAATGTATTTTTTTCTAAACGTAGCATTCCTATTAATGTAATACGCAAAAACTTCTTAGTATATTTTTTCCAAATGTAGCTCTGTAATGTAACACTCTAATGTAACACCAGAAAATCACAGTAACAGAAATATAGATTTCAACGTTCGGCAATCAACACTTTAGCTACCAATCACCCCAAAAAGAATCTTTCAAGCTCATCTTTTCATTTCCATCCCAAAAACGCATCAAAAAATTAAAAAATGAATCACAAAAAAACGTTCACTTAAACTTAAATAATACCAAATCAAATAAATTTAAAATTTTAAAATAAAAAGATCTAATTTGTTTATATGAAAACTCTTAAAACTAAATAGATCAATATTTTCTCATATAGAATTTATGGATAAATTTTCCTTTTTATTTTAGAAGTTTGTATTATAATATTTGGTGTAATTTCACTATGAAAAAAGAAAAAGAAAAAAAAACTTAATTATTGACGAGTGAGCAGGATAGTACTTTTAAATAATATTTTATAAAATTAAGTTAAATTATTTATATATGTCTATATATAAATTATTTTTAGAAATATTTTACAATCTATATATTTCAAAAGAATAATATTAATTCTATCATAATATAAAATATAACAATAATAAATATATAAAATAATTTTAGTTGAATTATTTATGTATGTATATTTATGCATACATATGTATAAAATTATTTAAAAAATATATTACGAAATATGCACTACAATCTTCACTCTACCGAACTTTAAATGTGTGTTTAAAATATATAGACTATTATATATGTGAAGGCGTGTTGACATCTTATTTTTTAGATTTTTTCAAAATATCCCTATAGTAGCTACATGGCCAGTTATGTCCCAAATTCAATATATATATATATATATATATATTTTCAAATCTCTCAACTTCACGTGCTGTCACTTCTAGTATATCTACAAAGTGAACATAGAGAAGAAAGTGAGACTCGAACCTATGACCTTGGTTTGGTAAAGAAACTTTTACCACTTAAGTGGCATGATTTTGTTTTGTTTTGTTTTTTACTTATTTGAATAAGCCACTAGTACTATTATAAAGTAAAGGCTTCTCATGCTGTTGACACAAAACATCACATTTTGATTTTCAAAAATGCTCTTATACCCTATTTAAAATATAAAATTATATAGAAAGAAGACCAAAACCAAGACCTTCAATTTAGTAGAAGAGACCCTTACTACTTGAGTAGCACACAAGTTGTATGCTTTTAAATTTAAATCAAAATTTATATTTTTCAAATTTAACAACATACACGGGGTGAACAAACACCACTAGTATATATATATTGGCTCCGTTTGGGAAGTTTTGGTTTGGGTTTTTTTGGCTAAAATAGTCACAAAAAAACAAAATAAGTTTTTTAGCCCAATAAGACAAAAAATCACATTCAACCTATAATCATTACATTCTTTCTCTTACAAAAAGTCAAAAAAGCCAAAAAAGTTCTTCCCAAACGAACCCATTATAAACACCACTAGTTTCGTCTATGTTTGTTTTGTAATATATATATAGAAATATATGATTCAAATTATATGTATATTTCAGGTTATTAGTTGTAAGATTAAAAAAAATTATTTTTTTTGTTAGATATAATATCCATTGGAATATAATCTGAATAATAAAATTTACAATCACACAATAAAATATGACTCAATCTTATGCTATAGTTCATCCAATTGTGGAAAAAACTTATTCTCTTATGTTATAATCAATTCTATTTTCCCTTGGCCTCCCATAATTTTGGGAAAAAATTTGCATAATTTAATGCAAAAATGTTATTTTGAAAAAGTGTCACATGGTATAGTGAAAATATTTTGTTCATGTAGTGATGACGTACATGTATACAGTTTTTAAAGAAAACTTCAACTTAACCAATGGAATTAGTTTAGGGGAAATCACACCAGTGAAATCTTTTTCAAAATAAATATTATTTCACGAAAAAAAGTTTATAAGTTTAATTATTAAAATTTATAAAAAATTTCATTAATCTAAAATTACTTTTACAAATCTCCGCTGATTTGTTATTTCTCCATTAGTTTATTTGGTTATAACTTTGGTACCTTATTAGAAAGTTAGTAGTACGAATCTTTCTTCTTTTTTTTTTTTGATTAGTAAAAAGAAATTTTATTGATGAAGAAAACATACATTACATATGAGAATATATCAATAAAGAGATGGAAGTGCAAAGCGTATCAAAGCGACATTACCCTAATCTCAACTAGGTTGACACCAAGGAGAGTGCTCAATCATCTGCTAGTACAACCTCCTAAGGTTGGTGAGACACCAACACAACAGCAAGGAGAAAAAAAGGAAAACCACCCAACAACCTAACAGCCAATCCAGAACATACCACAACCAACACTACTACAAGCTGCAAACCAAAAATGGCCTAAATGCACTAGCAGCAAGATGGACACAGACAAAACAACAAACAGATCAAGGAGAGACAAGAAAGATTAGTACCACAAAACCAGCCAAAACAAGAAAACAACACACCACTCTTCAAGGTCCACCCCTCACAGCCCACTACCCATGATTTAGCTAAACAGTAACCTCAGCCAAGGCAGACTATAACCTGTTAAAGATGATGAACAATCTCATTGACTGAGTATACCACAGCTGGGCAAGAGGATTTGATCGACAATGCAATCCTCACCTTGATGGAATCACACAAACTCACAACATCAGCCTAAGCACTTTTGAAAAGACAGTCATTCCTCTGCTTCCATATGGACCAGAACACAACCAAAGGAACAACATTCCAGATTAACTTTAGCTGCTTAGATAATTTCTAACCTTGCTACCAATTGAGTAGACTGCTCACAGACCTAGGTGTTACCCAAAGAATACCCCGCTATTTGATAATATTAAACCAGATCCTCCAGGTAAAAGGACAAAGCAACAGCAGATGGTTACCACTTTCCACCTCCCCATTACAAAAAATACAATTCATAGTTGATCCAGCATTTAGAACACCAAATTTTTGCAGATAGCTAGAAGACTTGACTCTCCCTTTCCAGGCTAACCAACCAAAAAATTGAACCTTGGGAGGAGATACATTCTTCCAAATGAACTCAGCAGTCTTTCTATTAGCTCCATGACCCAATTCACTCCATCCATAAGCTGATGTAACCGAGAAAGACCCTGAGGCAACTGCAATCCAACTCAATATATCCCTCCTACCTTCCCTGAGAGCTGGAGCATTAAGTAACATTGTATTCATTCTCCTCAACTCCTCCACCTCCCACTGAAACAAAGACCTTCTGAAATTCAGATTCCAAGCCTCAGCATCAGCTCTTCTGCTATACACCAAGTCCACAAATTCATCATTTCCCATTGTTACAGAATATAATCTAGGGAATACATCTTTCAAACAAACATTTCCAAACCATTTATCCTTCCAGAAAAGTGTTCTCTTTCCATCTCCAATAACCAGGGCTATGCTATTTTTAAAAAACTCCACTAGATCAGGCCTACCCGAAGCAAGCCCCAATATATCTTTCCAGATCAAAGTGCACCTGAGATGTTCCACAGGTTCAGGCCACCATCCCCTCCCAACCTCATTAAACTTGCCACATATCACCTGCTTCCATAGGGCTTTTTCTTTAGCTCCAAACCTCCATCACCATTTTAAGAGAAGGCAATCATTCATAAGCTTGATCCTTTTAACTCCTAAGCCCCCTTGACTTTTACTTTTTGAAATCTCCTCCCACTTTACCAAATGAATCTTTCTTCTAAGTTCATCACCTCTCCATAAGAATCTAGACTGAACTCTGTCAATTTCTTTTGTAACCCCTTCTGGCATCCTGAACAAAGATAAGTAGTAGATTGGTAAACTAAACAGCACTGATTTTATCAGTGTTAATCTCCCTGCAAAGGATAAGAATATCCTCTTCCAAGAAGCTAGCTTTTGTTTTCACTTATCAATCACAGGTTGCCAGAACCTTCTTCTCCTTGGACAATCCCCCAATGACATCCCCAAGTATTTTAAAGGTAGATTTTGATGTAAGCAGTTTAGTTTGTCATGAAATCCTTTAGTGAGGTCCTCACTAATGCCAATCCCACACACCACACTCTTATGGTAATTAATTTTCAGTCCTAAAAGCATTTCAAAACATCTTAGAATCCTCTTAACATTCCCAATCTCCTTCCATTCTGCCTCACAAAATAATATTGTATCATTTGCAAATTGAAGATGGGTGATCACAAGATCATTTGAGCCAACCACAGCCCCTCCAATCAATCCCATTTGTAGAGCTCTACCCAAAAGGATATTCAGACCTTCAGCTATGACATTGAAAAGAAATAGTGATAATGGATCACCTTGCCTAAGACCCCTTTGAGGAGTGAACTCAGATGTTGGTGATCCATTGACTAATACAGAAACTCTGGCTGAAAACACACTCTCTCTCATCCAACTAATCCATTTGGCACCAAACCCAAAATTTGCGAGCATAGAAAAGAGGAACTCCCAGTTAATTGAATCATACGCTTTCTCAAAGTCAAGTTTTAAAACAATGCCTTTCCTATGCTTCTTCCAACCGTCAACTATTTCATTTGCAATCAACACACCATCCAAAATACTTCTACCTCCAATGAAGGCTGATTGAGAATCACTAATGATCTTTAGCATAACACTCTTGATCCTATTAGACAAAACCTTTGCAAGAATTTTATACAAGGAGCCTAGAAGGCTAATAGGCCGATAATCATTAAGACAAGAAGGATTATCAGATTTTGGAATCAAAGCAACAAAGGAACTATTAATTCCATGACCCAACTTAGAGTTTTTGTGGAAATCTTTCATGAATTGAATCACATCCCCCTTAACAATCTGCCAACATTTCTTAAATAACATTAAATTAAAAGTTGTCTATTTGTTGATATTTTTCCTTTTTCTAATTTAGTTTATATATATATAAACACTTAAGCCAAGAGACATATTAGGCATTGATTTTCTCTATCTTACTCAGTGTCAAGACCCAAACCCGGCCCTATGGGTTTAGCACCGTAATCGGCCAGTAATCCGAGATTACCGAAGGCCTGCAGGACAGTAATACAGTAAAACAGAGTACAGGGCCTGGCGGAAGCCAAAATAGTAAATAAACAATGCCCAATGAGCTGCGACAGTCTATACGAAAAGATTTTTCATACATTTATACGTAAACAGTACAGAACGGTATGCACAATATTTACAATCATTCAGACTAGGGACTCAACCCTAGATAACAGTACGGTAAACATTCAGTCTATACAAAACAGTGAAACAGTACAAAAGGGGAAATCTTATTCAGTTCACGATAGTCAATGCACAGTCTCAGTGAGCCGTCTTTCTTCTTTACAAACAAAACAGGTGCGCCCCACGGTGAGGTACTAGGTCTGATGAACTTCTTGTCTAACAGTTCTTGCAGTTGTACTTTCAATTCTTTCAGTTCAGTTGGAGCCATTCGGTAAGGAGCTTTAGAAACCGGCTGTGTTCCGGGAATCACATCAACGGTAAATTCAATCTCCCTATCAGTCAAATCTCCTGGAAGATTATCTGGAAAAACATCTGGGAATTCTCTGACTATAGGAATACAGTTCACATTAGCATTATCATCAGTAGACA